AATATATCAGGATCTCCTGTTTGAAATTGGCAAACTTTACCCAGGTTACCGTGTCAAGCTTGTCGTCCTGATTGTTGGCGTCCTTGGAGGGATGAAACAGTCTTTTGTATCCTCACTTGCCAGAGTTCCAGCTTGCTCATCAAAAGCTGAGTTCTTGGCAGTCAGGATGCAGAAGGCTGTGATACTAGGTTCCCTCCGTCTACTTAGGGAAATGACTTTGGCCTGCTGTGATCACTACCGCCTTGTTGTGCGGAGTGGTCCAGCAGTAATGGATGGAGCTCAGGCTGGGACCCTCAGAAAGTCGGACTACCGGGACAACCCCCTGAGCATTTAATAACATAATAATAATAATAATAATAATAATAATAATAATAATAATAATAATAATAATAATAATAATAATAATAATTCTTAAAAAATTTAAAAACAAAATAATCGAGAGTACTTGCTAAATAACTCCCAAGTTTTATGCTGAGGCTTGAGCAATCTTCACATTTAAATTTCCATAATGTGCGGCTTGAGATATCAAACAACATTGAACATCACTCTACTACCTCTACTAATAAATATGACACACATATAGATAGAGATTTGTGTATTTAGCAGGGCGGGTGAGGTGTTTCAGAAGCATCCACCCCAACTAAACCGGGAACCGGCGTCTAGCCCATCTTAATGTTGTCGTTCTCGACTAACAGCCAGAACATCACGTCAGCTATCATCAACCCTGGATCACACATGAGTGTAAGGACATCGAGCGTGGAGCATACATTATATAGGATGAGACAAGACTCTCCTCGCATGGAACATGGAAAACATTTTATTTATTCGCCCAGACTTACGTGGATTACATTACTTTGCCTATCACTCTGCTTCTACTTTCCTTCGCAAATATACGTGACTAAACTTTATCGATAAAATACTTTTAATAGAATATTTCCATACTTATAAGGATTTCTTTTTACTCTATTCAAACATTTTTGCGGAGGAAATTGACCGCTGATAATTTTTTTTAACCATTTTGATAATTACTTAATGATAAATTCAAAAGAACAGTCAATTCAATACAAAATTTTAATTAAATTTCCTTTTTTGAAATTTCTAGGTACTTTATTAGTCTACTTTTTTTTTTTAATTAAAATGATCAATATTAAAAAGAATATTAAAATTGAATTCACTTTATCAAATATTCTTTTGTTAAAAATTAATTACCGGGTATCAAAAATTTAATTTAAATTTTTTAATTTATTTTCGATTTTCGAATATTAAATAATTAATTTGATAATTTAAATAATTAATCCTACAATTAATACTAAATATAAAATTAAATTCCTCAGTTAAGTATTCTTTTGTGCAATTAATTAATAGTCAGTATTTAATTTTCTAATTTTTAAATTATTACATAAAATATTTCAACGCTTGCAATTAAATATACCTAACTCATTAAAGTTATTTCAAAATTAAAAACTTATATGAAATATTTAAAAGTTTGATTAATTAATTATAAAAATATAGAGTAAAAAAAATATTATTAATTTTCGATAAATGAATTTTATTATCATAATACAATAAGTATATATTTTTCTAACTAATAATAACCATTTTTAAGAACGATATCAAATACACTAAAAATACGGTGTACATGCATTAAAAAATATAGATTTTTCTCCGTGCGTTAGACTTTCCACTTGAAAAATGTAATCCTCGGGCAGTTAGAGTACCAGAGGCGACTGCCGACCTCGATATGCATTGCTCGTTCACTCTGCGATTCAAACTTTTCTTACTTGCTACCCTAAAAAAAAATTAATAATAACAATAAAGGTAAATTTTTAAATCGATAAAATAAAATGAGGAAAATATAATAATAAAATGTGTGGGTGGAGGAGGCGGAATTGAGTTAGATTACTCGAACAGACGTAAATCATGGGTAGAAGATTCAATTAATTAAGAATAAGTGAGCCTGTAATGTTTATTAGATAAACAATCACAAGACTTAGTCTGTTGTAGTTTGTCAGTACAAGGCTTTAAATAGAGTTGTTCGGGTGGTAACTTCCAAGCTGATGAGACGGAAGGTCACAGTGTGAACACGGTACTTCCATTATGGGATGAGATACCATTAAAATTCGTTTTTTTAGTAATTAAACTGACATTGAATATTTTTCTTCGAAAAATATTTATTTATTATTTCCAGATGTACAGTTTTGTAACTATGATACATTCCCATCCCATTTAGCATTTCCCTCTTAGTTTTAATATTTAGTATTTATTATTTAATATTTAATATTCAATGTTGTATTATTCTTCAAAAAATATTTTATTAAATTAACTGGTGTAATTTTAATATTTTAAAAATCAAAACTAAAATTCATAAAAATAATTAATAGGTGTAATTTTCTTTTTTCTATTAATAGAATTTATAAAAAAGTAAAATAAAAAAAAGTTTGAATTCCCGGGCGCCTTTCAGGTAATTTTAAATCAAAATAAAACTCGAGACTTTAAGGGGACCCTAAACCCGGTGGTCTAGCGGCCTAAAATTTGAGCTATTTTAAAAAATTTTATTTCGATATGAAGGTAATGACTAATGCTTTCAAATTTTCATTACACTTATTCTATTACTTATCAACTACACGAAAATGAAAATCAAAACAAAAAAAAAAAATTTTTTAAATTAGAAAAATGGCGCTGAAGTCCCCCTCTCCAAAAAAAATGGACCTTACTGGCGCAGATCGATTGACCTCTCCCTCTGATCTGAAATAAAAAAAAATGACAGATTTTTAATTAGTATAAGTATAATTATCATCGGAACTAGAATAAAAAAAAAACAAAAATATTTGACAAAATGGCGCGTCGTTAAAAGTACGAATCTGAAATTCGTTTTCAAAAAATTTTTTTAACTACGCGCCATTTTATCAAATATTTTTGTTTTTTTTTATTCTAGTTCCGACGATAATTATAATTATACTAATTAAAAATCTGTCATTTTTTTTTATTTCAGATCAGAGGGAGAGGTCAATCGACCTGCGCCAGTAAGGTCCATTTTTTTTTTTTTTGGAAAGGGGGACTTCAGCGTCATTTTTCTAACTGAAAAAAAATTTTTTTTTTGTTTTGATTTTCATTTTCGTGTAGTTAATAAGTAATAGAATAAGAATAAGTGTAATAAAAATTTGAAAGCATTAGTCATTACCGTCATATAGAAATAAAATTTTTAAAATAGCTCAAATTTTAGGCCGCTAGACCACCGAGTCCCGTTAAACATTAAAAAATTATCTTGACCTTTGTTTCTAAAAAGTTAATTTACGGCTGAATATCGTGCTAAGCTAAAATAAATTATTAACAACCCTGGTGAAGTTTTAATCCGGGCGTCCTTTTGTTTAGCGCAAGAAAAAGGAATTTCACTATCGGGCTCTTTAAATCGAGTAGCGGCTTCATATCGGATGCTTAGATCGAGCGGAATAAGATACCAGATCTGCCCGATTAAAGTAAAAATAGTTGAGAATAAAATCCAGCTAATTAGGGCTAAACAATTAAAGAAAAAAAAATTAAAGAAAAGAAAAAAGAGATGAGAATTTTGAATTAAACGCGATGCTGGCTCATTTCCTCGAGTGTGGTGCCAATTAAAAGCAGCCCTCGGTTAATTATGTCACCTGAAAGGATGCTCTCTGTTTTGTCCTCTCGACCATGCGAATTAACGAGGCAAAATATATCCGTGTACATGCTGGAGCTCGGTGGTGGGTGTAGAGAACATACAGTGTGTATGTACATCTATATAGCATATGTGACATGTGGGTGCTCGTGAACGGCGAGTAAGCATGTGGTCGCTCCACGGCTAACTCGCGCGTTTTGTTCGGTAAACAATTGATCATAATAGTTGTTGATTATACGAGAATGAATTCCATACAGATCCAAGTAATCCAAGTAATTATGTTATTTCATTGATATCTTGATCATGCATTTTGAACTTAATGATTCGTAACTGGAATTTAAGTTTGTTGTTTTAATTTAATTCACTATTGTAATGTTTGTTTATTAATTTTTGGAGTCGCTGAAACATTCAAATTATTATTATTATTATTATTATTATTCACATTAATATCATTGTTATCAATTTTTTTTTTTTTAATTTTTTATTTAGATACTGAAGTTAGCTGACAACTGTCAATTTTTGAATTTTTTATATCATATCAGTTACAATAAAAAATGCTTTAAAAAATTTCTCTACTAATAATTTTTTTTTTTATCTTTAGGTACATGTAAATTTTTTTCCACAAAAAACAAAAATTTTATTGCTATAAAATTATAAATAAATTTTATTGCTTTAAAATTATAAAAATTAATTTTTAATGACTGTCAACTTTAGTGTCATGTAATTATTACCTTGATCTAATAAATATTTTTAGAGAACAATTTTTTTGAATTTTTATTATTATTGTTGTTATTATTATGATTCTTTTTAAATACCACGAATGTTTTGTCGAGTGAGAACTCCTTGATCTAGAGGCAGCACTGCCTGTACAGAAATGTTTGAATTGATTTTTATTTATCAAGAGACGGACATGACGAAAGCTGGAACACTGCGCTTGCTTGCTTGCTTGCTGCACAGTGGCGCCATCTTAGTTCAATAAATGTCAGTGTTTTTAAAACAACTTTTAACAATTCTTTTAATAAAAAAAAATTCTAATTCATTAAAAAAATTTCTTAATAATTATTTAAGATTAATAAAAACTTACCAATATTAAAAAACATTCTGATAAATAATTTTTTTTTCTGAGTGAAAATAAATTGTGTAAATCCATCATTATAAATTTTTGAAAGATGGCGCTGATCCATCACCTGGCAAGTTATCGATGCTGGATGTGATTTTTAAAAAAAACTAGAAATTTACTTGGGCCGAGTGCAAACTAACCTCTATATAATAACATTCTCACGTGTACATCTGCCAGAACCATGTGCGCGACAAATAATATTTAAAATAAAACCTCGTGGAAGTGAAAAAGTTAGAAAAAATGAGTGAACTAGTGGACGTGACCCACAAAAGCCATCGCGAGCACAAAACCGGGCGAAAAGCTGAGAAGAAAAAATTACAGAAGGAAAAAAAGTCAAACAATGCTTCAGAGCGGCCACAGAACCCGAAAGCATTTACCTTCAACTCGGCGATTGGAGCTGAAAGACGTTTTCGCCGGAAGCAGGATTTAACCACCAAGAAAACTCACATTCCGTATGTCGACAGAACTCCAATCGAGCCTCCACCAATCCTGGTCGCCGTGGTGGGACCTCCGAAGGTCGGTAAGTCTTTGCTAATCCACTGTCTGATTAAGAACTTCACCAGAGACCCGCCGAAGGACATCAAAGGTCCCGTGACAGTGGTGTCTGGGAAGAAGCAGCGCATCACCTTTGTCGAGTGCAACAACGACCTCAACTCGATGATCGACATAGCGAAGGTCGCAGACCTGGTGCTGCTCCTGGCCGACGCGTCTTTTGGATTCGAGATGGAGATCTTTGAGTTCCTTAACATTTGCCAGGTCCACGGAATGCCCAAGATCATGGGAGTCCTGACGCACTTGGACCTGATCAAGGACGCGACCAAGCTGAAGAAGACCAAGAAAGTCCTGAAGCACCGGTTCTGGACTGAAGTCTACAACGGAGCAAAGCTTTTCTACCTCTCTGGACAGATCCACAACGAGTATCTACGGAATGAAGTGAAAAATCTTGCTCGGTTTATTTCAGTGATGAAGTTCCGGCAGCTGACCTGGCGCTCCAGTCATCCGTACATTCTCGCAGACAGAGTTGAGGACATGACTGACCCGGAGACAGTCAAGAGGACCCCCAAAGTCGATAGGACTGTCTGCTTTTATGGGTACATGCGAGGGTGTCCACTCAGGAAGGATTCTTCGGTTCACATTCCTGGAGTCGGGGACTTGAGGGTCAAGGATGTCAGCTTTCTGCCGGACCCTTGTCCGCTGCCAGAGACCCTGAAGAAGAGAGCGCTGATCGAGAAAGAGAGACTGGTCTATGCGCCCTTCTCTGGGGCCGGTGGCATTATTTATGATAAGGATGCTGTCTATGTCGAGCTCGGAGGCAGTCATTCGTTTAAGGAACAAGATAATGAAATGATCTCTGGGATGATTGGCACCGCGGGGACTCTGGATGAAAAGCTCGAGATGAGCGAGTTGAAGCTGTTCAGTGACTCCAAAACGATTTTAAGCAAAGAGGTTGATGAGGTCTTTGGCAAGCAGCAGGAAAATGTTTTTGATAATGGCAGGATGAGGAGGAAGGTTATTTTTAATGATGATGATCATGATAATGGTGATGGTCAAGAGTCAGGTGATAATGATGAAGATGATGAAAATGATGAAAATGATGATGAAGAAGAAGGAGAAGAAAGCTCGAGAGTTCTGGAGAGAATTGATGAGGGAGATGAAGAGGCAGAGAATGTTAATGATGATCGAGAATTAGGTAAGAAATTTATTTTTAATTCTTTTTTTATTTTTGGTGGTCATTTTTATTAATTGAAGTTTTTGTTTAGGTGAAAATAATGATAAGTCTTTGGAAAATGGAAATTCTAAAAGTCTTTCTATAAAAGTTGGAGAAGAGGAAGAAGATGATAATGAGGATGATGATGATGATGATCATTATCATCATCATCATCAAGAAGAAGAAGAAGAAGAAGAAGATGTACATTGTAAATATTCATTGAAAAGAAAATTTCAGAAAAAGAATGATAATTCAGGTAAGACATTAAAATTTAAGGTAATTATTTACAAGTGGGGTCAAACCTATTTTTGGTCATATCTATGTTAAAAATAAACATTTAAAAATTTTTTTTATTCTGCTTGTTTTTACGGCGGATTTATGATGGTGATATCGAAAATATAAAAAAATTAATATTTCGATAGCTTTTTTGCCTTCAAAAGTTGGAAAAAATTTTGGCTCATGTTTTTGAATTGAATTTCTATTTTATCTTTTTTTGATGTTTTTGATATATTTTTTTTTTTTTTTTTGTTGAAAAATACATAAACAATTTTTTTAAAAATTTATACATTTTTTTTTAAATTTGTTAAAATTGTGGTAATCAAATTTTTTTTTTTTAATTGTTCATTTTTTTATGTATTTCTCAAAAAAAAATATATCTAAATTTTCAAAAAAAAATTTCGTTTAAAAAGATAAAAATTAAAATGGTAGACCCCACTTGTAAATAACTACCAAATTTAAAATAATATTTATAATTTTGTTCTAAAAAAATATATTTTTAAAAATATTTCAGATGAAAAATCTAAAGAAAGTAATAAAAAATTAAAAATAAGTGACGATGAATCGTCAGATCTTGAACTCAAAAATTCATCGACTAATAAAGAAAATGCTCAAGCTAATTCACCAAACAAAGGAGTGAAAAAAAATGCTACAAGTGAATTAAGTAAAAAAATATCCGAGACATTGAAAAGTTTAGAAAAAAAAAATTTAGGCGAACAAAACGAAGAAAGCGACGATGAGATGAGTGACAATGATTCAGAGGGCTCGGTTGAAGATATGGATGCCGATGGTGACAGAAGGTGGTGGACTCGAACTGCCGAGGAGGCGAGTCGAGAGTTTGAGAATAGGCGGAGGAACGTTCGCAGTATCATGAAATTAGTTTACGACGTTGAGCAACCTAAGTCAGCAGAAAAGGAAGATGAAGAGGAAGGTGACGAGGTTGCAGGGATATTCCGTGTGATCACGGAGAAGCAGAAGAAGAAAATTGAAGGCCGAGAGTTGGAAGACCAGGAAGACACCGTCTTCTACAACCTGGAGCCTCCGTCAGAAGAGGAAACGGCGAAGCGCTCTCAAGATGCGCGCGCGTTTCTCATCCAAGGCTGGCAAGAGTCCGAAGATGCGAACGAGCTGCTGAAGTTAGACAACCTGAAGGAGGACGGCGAAGAAGAAGAAGTCTTTGGTGACTTTGAAGATCTGGAAACTGGAGAAAAGTTTGACGCGAAGACCGACAACCCTGCGCCTAAGGAGAGGACTGAGGATGAAGATGAGGAACGGAAGAAATTGCTGGAGAAGAAGAGGAAGATCAAGCAGCAGTTTGACGCCTTGTATGACGATGCTGAGACGCAAAATTTCTATGAAGCGCTGAAAAGAGACGTTGAGAAGCAGGCCGAGCTCAACAAAACGGAGTTTGACGGCCTGGATGATTATGTACGGGTCCAGGTGGAAGGGTTTCGCCCGGGGATGTATGTCAGAGTGGAAGTTGGCTCTGTGCCCTGTGAACTGCTGGATAACTTTGATCCAACCTACCCGCTGATTCTGGGAGGGCTTCTCAGGGGCGAAGAGAACATTGGACTCGTTCAGACCAAGTTCAAAAAACACCGGTGGTATCCGAAAATTCTAAAAACTAGAGACCCGGTCGTTTTGTCTGTTGGGTGGAGAAGGTTCCAGACTATTATGATTTATGCCAAGCTGGAGGACAATATGAGACAGAGAATGCTGAAGTACACTCCGAAGCATTTAACTTGCATGGGACACTTCTGGGGACCTATTACACCTCAAGGTACTGGAGTTCTGGCTGTTCAGGATGTTAACAGTAGGAATAAAGGTAATTGATTTGATTTTTTATTTATTGATAAAATTTTTTTACTTTTTTCATTTTTTATTAAAGTCAAAGATCGAGTTATTGACACTTGCAATTTTGTGTTAATTAAATAAAAAAAATTAACTCTATTAAATTAATGATTTTCGAATTATAAATTTTAAGATAATTGATTTTTTGAGAAAATTTTATTTTTTTAATTATAATAAAATTTCAAGTGTCAACTTAGAATTTTTTAGGGAAGTTTTTAGTGTCATTGCTAAGGCCTTGATTAGAATTTGTGCCTTTTCAAGATTTCATATCATTCTCACCGATGGTCAATTTATTATGATTAGTATTTAGGCTGCATTCGAAAATGCTCTATCTCTAGACACATAATTAAGAAACTACCTTGTATCTTGTGAACTATTGACATTTTTAGAGATATATACTCACCCTGACATTACACTTATCGAGACCTTTCATTTGAGTACCCACGAGTGTAACATCGGGATGAGCTTATATCTTTAAAATATATATTATATATATATGTATATGTCGTAGACAGATCGTGAAATTAGACAATTCGTGAACTGTCTAGACAATTCTAGATATTTCATGAACTGCAGCCAGATCGTGTAATGGTCGACCAGTTACACGAAGTGGCTAACATTTTTAGACAGTTCATGAAATGCAATTAGGCCTTAGATAAATCGTGTAATGTTCCAAAATTACATGATATGTCTGAATTTTTCAGACAATTCGTGAAATGTCTAATAGCTGTTTTGCCGATCGTGAAATATCTAGGAATAACGGATTTCTAAAAAGGAGACAACTAAAAAGAGATAAGATATTAGTTGGAGCAGCCAATGTCATTTATTTAGAGAATAAAATTTCATTTTTTATTTATTTACACATGGTAAACTCGAGTGAGATCTACTGTTACACAAAACGTTAGCTTTTTTGCATGCACACCATTTTGTAGTGAATTACCCGTCATTTTTTTGTCTGGACGAAATTTGCTGTTATTACCATGATTGTTGTTATTAATATTATCCTCATTATTATTGTTGTTATCATATGCTAAAATTTCCAAGTCTTCTTCGGTTCTCAAATTACGAGTCAATGCCAGTCGGATGTTAGAAGTCACAACTCCAAGCTTGGGTTCGCATCGACCATTACACGATCTGGCTACAGTTTATGAAATGTCTATAAAGTTCATGAACTGTCTAATTTCACGATCTGTCTACGACATATATATGAAAAATATATAAAAATGCATCTGAGTACTCAAATGAAAGCTCTTGATGAGCTTATATTTTTAAAAATGTCAATAGTTAAGAAAGTACAGTGCAATTTAACAAGTCATTATTTTATAAAACAAAATTTTATTTTATTTATAGTTCACAGTCACGGCAGTCACATAATGACTGCAAGGTTGTTAGTATTTTATAATTTTTATAACAAATTAATTTGTATATTAATAAAAAAATTTTTTTTTTTTTTTTTTAATTTAAGGATTCAGGATCATAGCAACTGGCTCAGTAGCAGAGTTGGACAAAAATACACGAATTGTAAAAAAACTAAAATTAATTGGAGAGCCTAAAAAAATCTACAAAAAGACGGCCTTCATCGGGGGTATGTTTAACTCTAAGTTGGAGGTCGCTAAGTTCGAAGGTGCAAAAATAAAAACAGTCTCTGGTATTCGTGGATTGATAAAAAGAGCTGAAAAAACTCCAGGCTGGTTCCGAGCGACTTTCGAGGACAAGATCCAGCTGAGTGACATTGTGTTTTGTCGAACGTGGGTCAGGATAGAGGTGCCGCATTACTACAACCCGGTGATCAACCTACTATTGCCCCATGGTAAGAAAAACGAGTGGCGAGGCATGAGGACCGTGGCTGAACTCAAGAAAGCTAACAACATCAAGGCCAAGCCCGAAGACTTCAAAGACTCGCTCTACACCCCGATTGAGCGCCAGCAGAAAGTCTTCCAGCCCCTGAGGATCCCCAAGGCTCTTCAGAAGGCGCTTCCTTACCGCGACAAGCCCAAACTCCAACCTCTCGAGGTCAATCATAGACCTCAGTATTCAGAGAGACGAGTCGCCGTCGTCAGGAGCAAGGAGGAAGAGAGCAGAAGCGATCTTATTAAGAGGATCCGCGCTCTTTATTCTTACAAAGAGAAGAAAGCAAAAGCTGAGATGTCCAAGCGCATGGCTGAGCGCAAGAAGCTTTTGGACGCCGAGGAAATGAAGCGCCTGCAGAAGGGCAAACAGCTGAAGAAACAAATCTTCAGCACGCTCAGTAAAATGGACGCTAAAAATAAGAATAGTCGTTAAGGTAATTAAATAATTTATCGGTATTGTTAACGTCAATAGTAAAATTTAATAAAAAATTTTAATAATTCAAAAAAATTGATAAAATTTTTAATTAAAATATATATTTATATATAAGTTATTTGATAAAATTTATTATATATATTTATAATAATAATATTATTATTATTATTATTAGTTGTAGAAAAAATATTAACGCGGCGTGGAAGATGGTTGGTTAGAGAATTGCCTGAGATCCACGCCAAGAAGATATTGTATGATGGCCTCTTGAATAATTATCCGCGCCCTAGAAATTTATTTTAATATATTAAATCATTTATTAATTACTAATAATTAATATGAGCCAAAATTAGTCACCATTAACTATTATTGTGATGATAATTATTTAGGCTGCATTCGAAAATGTTCTATTTCTAGATAGATAATTAAGTAAAATTTTATTTATTTATAGTTCACATAGTGACTGCAAGGTTGCTAGTTTTAATAAAATACTTTATAGTTAAAAATTTTTTAAATTATAAAAAATAATCGAATAAATATTTTTTAAAATGGTGACTAATTAACTCATATAATTAAACAATTAATTAATTAATTAATTATAAACTAAATCGAAATATTACCTGTGTATATAACAATAATTCATCCTGTGTATCGACAATACGCACAGGAAAAGGTGACCCAGGAACAAGAACACCTGCCCAGCGTACTTCGACTCTGTAATCGCCGGGTTCAGTCGGGTCGTACCGACAGAGAATAATTCTGTCTTTTTGGGTTTCTCGCTGCATTTCTACCCGAAAAGCGCCTTTGGGTCCGCGAACACGAACAGTAAGTTGTCCAGCACCAGCTCCGCGAGTGTCGCAAATGAATCTGGATTGGAAGGTCGCTAGAACTCCGTGTTCAATACCGGGTCCGTAAACTCGTACCTGCAAAAATCGCTCATTTTAATCTATTAATAAAAAAAAAAAGACCATTCGGCAGCCGAAATGGATGTAGATTTCTCAAATAAAGAACATTTGTTTTTTATAAAATAATAATAATAATAATAATAATATACAAGTTAATAATTCATTGATTAAAAAAAAAAAAAATTCAATAATAAGTTCAAAACTATTTAGAACTAATTTTGGTCAAAAAATAATCTTGTAAACTAAAAAGTTTCTCGATTGTTTATCAAATAATTTTAAAGATTATGAGATTTTATTAATCTATTAATAAAAAAAAAAAAAAAAAAAAAAAAAATGATGTTTATATGAAAAAAAATAAAAAAACCTTAGAAGCATCTGGAGCGCCAGAAACACGCAAAGTAAAAGGTGACCCAGGAACATGTTCTCCAGCGTACTTGATAGTCAAAGCGTGTCTTCCGGCTTCTTGAGGTTTAACATTAAGCGTAAAAGTCGCGTCTCCGTGATCGTAGAGCTCGCAGTAGGCAACTTTATGGGGTCCAACGCAGTGAGCAGTAAGTTCTCCGGGTCCAGCTCGCCTGGTGTCAATGAAGCTTCGAATTTCTTGACCTACAATTCCGTTTTTGAGGCCATCGCCGGAGCAAATGACCCTGGAAGCATCAGCAGCGCTGGTGACGCTTATTTGCAGCGGACAGCCTTTCAATTGTCGTCCATTCCAGGAGACAGTCATCAGCAGAGACTCAGGAGACAGAGGAATGTAGCTCGCGCGGTAAACACTGTCTCCCAGGTGCTGGAGCACTACGTTGATCTCGGTGGTGGGCGAAAACAGCTGGACTTTCGGTGTACCGGAGCCAGCTTGGGATCCATCGATGGTAAAGCTAACTTCCTCGCCTACTTTGGCTGAGGTGAGTCCTCTGCCTCTGAGCATCACACGGCTGGAGTCGTTGACTGGCTCTTGCTCCTGGATGATGGCCAGTTTGGGAGCTCCGGGGAAGGGCGTTCCGTTGAATAGAATCTCCATGTGATGCTCGCCTCCAGACAATTGGGGAGGTACCAGCTTCAGCCGGTTGTTGGAGGTCATCTCGAAGGACAACGGCCGTTCGTCGATCGACCCGGTCAATTCTCCTGGGCCAGCCTCTGCTGTGTCGAAGCTTATCTTGCTGTTGGAGCCGATCTTCAAGCGACCCAGCTCATCGCAAATTGCTGCCCAGCCTCCAATCACTCGGAGGTTTCGCGTGTCGATGATTTTCGGGTGCCATGGAGATCCCGGTAGCTGCTGGCCTGCGCAGACTACCCGCACGTCGAAGACTCCTACTTCTGAGGGAATGTACGAGACGTTCCAGGTACCCGGGTTCGCCCCTGCTTCTATTGTAGGCTTGGAAATACTGTCTGGACCGTCTACTTGGACGGCTGGCGGGCTTCTTGTTCCGGTTACTATGAAGTGGGCAGGTTTGCCTACGTGTCCTGATAAAAGACCCTCGCCTTTCGCTCGCGCTTGGCCGGCTGATTCTACTGTACATACTACTGGACTTCCTGGTGTTGGACAACCACCTGAAATTTATTTTTTTTTTTTTTTTTTCAGAAAAATTGATAGAAAATTTTTTATTACTTAATAAGTCTTATTAATTATAATTAATAATTTTATTTTTATTAAAATTTTATTTTGTTTAAGAAATTTTTTATGAAAATTATTTTTATGCCGAGTCATTTTTTTTTTCTGAAATTATAATTATAAATAACAGAAAAATTTTTACTTCAATTGTAAATTTACAAGCATGTATGTAATAATTATTTTTTTTTTTTTTTTTTTTTTTAATTTGTTTAAAGTCGCATAAACTACTAAGGTCATGAGCGACTACGGTAGGGGGTAAACTTTTGAGATTGCAACTCGTTTGTATTTCTTGGGTTGAGCAGAATAATACACTTAAATATTGAAAATATTCATTGGTGTACGCCGGACTCGAACCCGGTCCAATGCTTTGGTAGCAAGGGCCGGATCCGATAGGCTACTGTGCGCCTGTAATAATTATTAAAAAATTATTTTTTAACATTTTAGATGATTTATTAATAATTAATTAATGTTTGATAAATCTTTTTTTTAATTATTCATAAATATTTATCAATTATTAATAAATTTATTTTGACTCGAAAAAAAAAATTTCTTACATTAGAAAAAAAATTTATTTATAATTAATAAATTCATCTATCAGGTGTATTAATGAATAAACATACCATAAGTAACATTAATCATATAAGAGCCAGGAACACTTGGAGAAAATTCAATCATCTCAGCACCGTCGTTGAGCGTGGTTACTTGAAGCGGTAATTCCTGTCCCAGCGGACTCGTCGCAGTTACATCTAAATCCGCGATACCAGCTTCGGACTTGACGACTAAAAATAATACAGATAAATAATTATAACTAGTTAAAACAAATAATACAAGTGGACATGACACAATAAATTGATTCGCGGTGTTATATTATTGTTAGCCGCTGGAAGCCCTCGCATGAACTAAGCCACAAAGTATTCCTACAACGCTTACTTCGCTGAAACTATTTGAAAGTAGACTAGAGCATATCGCGGTAATACATCACACAGTGTAATTAATTTTCCTTATAGCCTTGAACATTTCTCTCGACTGATTAAATCTAAATCAACACAATATAAAGGAGCCTTCCTTATCCTGGTATTGCAAGTCAACGCTTTCACGATTCTACGTCTCTATTAAACACATTGTATTTTAATTTTAATAATAATAATAATAATTATAATATTTCGTGTTTTTAAAATTTTATTATTATTACTTAAAAATTTTTTTAATAATAATAATTAACTTTTGAGAGCTTATTAATCATTAGATCATTACATATTATATTATTTTTTAATTAAAATAATTATCAATTATTCTACTTACGTTTAAAAGCAATACGATCATGAACCGACACCGTTGTTGGTCCCAGTTCCTGTAATTTAACTTTAGCTGGGTCGAATGATTGACAGAAAAACGGTGAGCCCAGTACTGGCTTAGCACCTTGCAGTACATCTATTTTATAAGTACCTGCGCAATAATGAATAATAAAAAATAAATATTAATTTTTAATTACTTAATTTTACGTAAAATAAAACTTACCGATTGAATTGGTAGTAAATTCAGCTAGTAGATTGCCATCGCGATGCTGATAACAACGAACAGGCACTGCGTTACCGAGAGGCCCGCTGATTACGACATCAAACTCCTTGCCTGGACGGCCCAGTGTCTCGATAGTAAATGACGTAACTTTTCCAACGCAGGATTGGTACAAACCAAGACCGGTTGCCGTCACCTCGCGACCACCTGTTGGACCGCGAACCGCGACTTCCAGTGGACTTCCTTGTATATGAACGTCGTTGTATTTTATATGAACGCGATGGGGCGCTGCTCGGGTCGGGTGGAAAATAACTTCGTAAATTCCGTTGTCTGCTTCTCGAACTACGTTGTCTACGTCAATTCCTCCGGCTCGGACTGTTGCGGTTAATTTTCCTGGACCGGCTTCTTTGGATGCCAATACTGTAATTTTGTAAAATTGTTTATTTTATTTTTGTAAATTTTTATTTTTTAATAATTAACAGTGTTGGACAAAAATAATTTAATTTTTTTTATTTTAAAAAAATTTAATCAGAATAAAATTTTGATAGAAAAAAAAAAAAAAATAATAAACTAGCAACCTTGCAGTCACTATGTGACTGCTGTGACTTGTGAACTATAAATAAGTAAAATTTTGCTTTATTAAATAATGACTTTTGTTGAATTGCACTGTAATTTTTTAACTATTGACGTTTTTAAAGATATAAGCTCATCCCGATGTTACACTCATTAAGAGCTTTCATTTGAGTACCCACATGCATTTTGATATATTTTTCATATATACATTAGGGTGGCGCAAAAAAACCGATTATTTTTTTTTTTTTTTTTGAGTCTCGAGTGAAAAAATGTCAGTTTTTGATGGTATTAATTAAAAGAAAAATAAATGCCGCCACTAGCCTATGTTAAATGTATATCTATATATTGAAAAAAATCATATGGATACTGCGTTCCCCTTACCGCGCTAGAGTCGATACCTATCCCCACCCCGCTTGGCGCTCGTACTTCCTTAAAAAAAAATTTTTAAGAGGTCGCTCTAAATTTTTTTAAATTTCAAAAATCGTCAAAAATCGAAATTTTTTTTTTAAATTTTTTTTCTCGTTACGTCATAATTTTATAGACAAAAAAAAAATAAGTTCCTGAAAGTTTCAATTCAAAATTTAAATTTTGAAAGGTCGCTCATAATTTTTTTTAAATTTCAGAGTCAAAAAATGCTAATCCAATTAAATAGTCACTAATAAATTAAAAAAAAATTATGAGCTTTTAAAATTCACATTTTGAACTGAAACTTTCAGGAAAACCTTTTTTTTTGGTCTATAAAATTATGACGTGACGAGAAAAAAAAATTCGATTTCTGAAATTAAAAAAAATTTGGAGCAACCTCTTAAAATTTTTTTTTTTAAGCTGTCCTTTGTAGAGAGCTCTTAAAACATCAAAAACTAACATTTTTTCACTCGAGAATTAAAAAAAAAAATAGTCGGTTTTTTGCGCCGCCCTGATATATATATATAATAATATATATAAATATATGAAAAATTGATGTGGGTATTCAAATGAAAGTTCTCCATGAGTGTAATGTCAGTGTGAGCTTATATCTTTAAAAATGTCAATAGTTCTCAAGATACAAGGTAATTTGTTAATTATTTATCTAGAGATAGAGAATTTTCGAATGCAAAATACAAAATTTTACGAAATTTTTTTTAATTTTCAATAGAAAAAAAAAAAAAATAATTACCAACAATAGTACCAGGACGATGACAAATAGCATCAGAAATTTCTTTAATAGTAACCTTGCTTGGATCAAAAGCTTGCAAGGTCTGAGAACTGATAACTTTATGCCCATCACTGAAAATAATATTATAAATTCCAACCATCCTGGTGCGAACTTCAACACGATACAAGCTAGCGGATAACTTGGTCAAAGTGCAAGGAATAATAATTCCATCAGGCCCAGTAACTTCTGCGGAAACAGGACCCTCTAGTCTTGGCATATCAAGATCCAAGTACGCGGTATTTCCTACGCGAATAACAGTGGGTCCATCAAGACCACCTCCAATTACTGGACACTTAAAAGGACTGCCTGGAACATTGTCATCGTTGAAGCTGATATTGACGTAGTGGGTAGAGGTGGTCTGGGGCACGAAAGTGACGTCGTAGAGCCCGCGAGCGCAAGCTACCACTTCGGCTTTGACGGTGTTATTATCAGTGCTGACTACCAGCTCGAGAGTTCCTTCCCCAGCTTCAGCAGCGTCGACGGTGAAGGTAGTCGCCTGGCCGAGTCTTGCTTCGGTCAGCCCCGAGACGTGGACTTTAGTGACGTCGTAGATGTTGCAAGCAAACGGAGAGCCTTTTATCGAGTCTCCATCCACCAGGACACTGATGTTGTGTCTTCCGACTTCTGTTGGTGTGAAGCTTATGTTGTACTTGCCTTCCACCGGCTCGATTGTTATCGGCAGCGCTATCGCCGAAGGCGGAGTCACTATTACGTCACAGTTTGTCGAAGGGGCCTGAGGATCTACGGTGAATGATATCAATTGCTTAACAGCGCCCATCTTCAGAGCATTTCCTGTGATTACTGCCTGTCCAGCTCCAACTACTTTGCAGCTGAA